ATTCACGGAGATATTAATGTTTAAAATCGGGAGCATATTTCTTGATGTGTCTGAAATATGCCAAAAACAGCGTATCAAATATTAATCAAGATTTACCCGACTGAAACATGCACTATTACCTGTAAATAAATGACACTTGACAAATTGTTTATTATGAAACAAAGTATTATTATCTACAAAATACAAGCAAGATTTATTCGTCCGAAATCCGCGTGTGTTTCTAGCACGAATACGTTTCCTTATTTCATGAGACCACTGCATCGCGAAGGATCGTCATGGATCGTTCGTAGTTCTGAATTAGGGCACGCTGTTACATTGGAATTGTGAATTTTCTAACTTCACATTGAATGAATTTTCTAACTTCTGCAACGTTCTGAAATCTTGTTAAGAACACCCAAACTCTTTTGCCTTTCTTAAACTTGGCAAGTTCAGAATAAACTGAGAATGAAACACAATCAAACCATACAACTCCATAAGTAAAGACATAACAAGCATGCAACTCCCCAGAGACATCCAACATTTTTGGAACAAAACGTAACAAAATAGTAGCTTTGATACTGTGATGTGTATTTGCAAAAAGCAATATTATTTCCTCCATAAAAGAACAATATTAATCCTGCTCTAACCGAGAAATAATCAACTTTGTTTTGAACCCATGAAAAACATAAAAAATAGGTTATTTAAGAAAAATTGAAGCGCCTGCCTTGCATGGTCTTTCATGTACCTTAAGTTTGCAAAGACCTATTAAATACTTACATAATTTCGAACGTTCATATTTCAGGAAACAATAAGTTAAGACTTACATGTAAGATGTCTAAATCTACGCCATATCCCTTACAAACCCTAACGACAATTCGTTGAAATACAATTTACCCTGATATGTCATTAAGCAAACAAACGCTGGAGTTAAAATTTGATACGCCGATTTTCGCTAATTTTAGACACATCCCAAAATATGCTCCCGATTTTGAACATTAATATCTCCGTGAATTTTTAAGTAAAATACAACTGTAAAATATCAAAATCTAAGTTAGTCCTTCCTCTATTTAATGCAAGTTATTTCTGTTTGATAGCTTTACTTGTTTAGAAGTTATTATAAATCAAACCGGAGTACTTTTTTTTGGGCCACCCGGTATTTGACCGGAATAATTAATCCAACGTATGAAAATAATACAGTTTCAGCATCAAGGTTAACACAGGGTTTATGTTTGAGAAAAGTTCTAGAACCCAAATGAAAGTTGAAATGTAAGCGTTGTATACAAGACGTGGTAATCTGTATTTTGCCATTAGAGAGTTTGAGCAAGACAACGAAGTACGAAGACGAAGGCATACTTGACAATTTTTGCCGCCTGCACATTATCTTGCGCATATACTGAGTTGGACGTCACTGATAGTTGCTCAACGTGTCTTCCCATGTGTCGCTGTTTATGAATACTAACCATAATTCTTGCCCTGATCCAGAAGGGAACAACGAGACATGAAACTATATCCCGTCTTTGTCCTTCTGCCTTCGTGCAGAACGAAGTTCACAACGAATTTTGCCAAAATATTCGTTGTGAACGAAGGCAGAAGGACGAAGACGGGATATGGATTCATGTCTCGCTGTTTTATCCTGATCAGGGTAAGGATTTCAGTCATCATTCACAAACAGCTAGACATGAATCTCTAATCTGTCTTCACTCCTGACCCTAAACTCAGAATGCGCAAGGTAATGTGCAAGACAGGCAAAAATTGTCAACCACGTCGTTGTCGTCCTACTTCGTTCTCTTGCTCAAACTCTCTATTGTAAACAGAGCAACGGCGACGTGGTATTTTACTTGCTAATTTCTGTTTATATTCTTGCATTAATATGATATTATTATAGCCGTCCTCGTCGCACTGTAATCCTGCTTGTTGAGGTCCTTTAAATAAGGTGGCTAACTACACTTCTTAAAAAATGGAAGACTTTCTGATTAGGACATTAATTTCTGGACAATAATTATTTGTTGAAAAACAAAGAGTGTCTGACTTGAATAAAACAATAACTAAGGAATTCGGAGTTTCTAAAAGTTTACTCCTAACAGGCGTTGCTATGACAACAATGACGTTTCAATATGGCGGATATTTTTGGTTTAAAGAGATTTAACTCGAAAATAAGGTCGGTGACCCCCATTTTTTATTTTGTAGCATGATTTCTTTTAGTATGTTGAATCATTTTCGTGATTTAAAAAAAATACTGTGATGCCAAATGTTTCAAGATCGGAAAATGTGATAATTCGTACCAATTTTTTTCGCATGACACTGATGATAGAATTTTTTAAAAATCGTAACAATTATTCAAAATACTAAACGAATTCTTTTTCTGAAATAAAAAATGGGGGTAACCTACCTTATTTTCAAGTTAAATAACTAGTTAAACCCAAAATATCGGCCATATTGAAGCGTCATTGTTGCCATAGCAACGGCAGTTGCGATTCCTTTTTTTCGAAAAAATCCAACTCAGTCTGTTGTTATTATTTTTCTAATCGGACTTTCTTTGTCTTTTAACATTGGGTCTAAATCTAAATATAATTTCTAGTAAACTGTAGGGATAAGGCTTCTTAATAACAGCAGTTCTTTATAACTTTGAAAATTGAAAGTGTAAAATTCAAGGCTGTTTCTTGTCACATTTCTTGTACTAGATTAAGCCTTGCTTTTAAAAGTTCGCTAGTGTTGGACGTTTTTGTCGTGTTCCAGGAATGCAATCAACATTGAATAGTGGGGGTAAGGGGGACGTGTCTGACAAGGAGGATGATACTGTAGAAAGGATATGATTGTCGAAGGAAAGGATTGGATCAAACGTAACTCCTAGATCGTTCACTGATTCAGCAGGTGTAAGATCTTTACCCAGTAGTGAGAGTCTGAATCCAGGTAGCTTCGTGAGCATTTGGCGGCTTCCGTAGATCGTCAATTTTGTCTTGTTTGGGTTGAGTAAGAGCAGATTATCAAAGCACCAGTTTCGCATGCTAATCAAATCTTCGTTCTAATCAACCAGCTGTGCAGTACTTGAGTCATTGATATGGAAGGACAAAAGTAATTTAGTGTCATCGACGTGCGACTTTGAGGAACACTAGACGGTAGATTGTTAACATAAATACTGAACAGCAACGGACCAAGAATACTTCCTTGTGGCACATCACTAACTACGGGTAATTTATCTGATAAGGTCGAGTTTATACGTACTGCTTGATATCTTTCACTAAGATAACTTTTAAATCAGCTGAGGCATGAAGATGAGACCCCAACATTCTCCAGTTTAGCAAGTAGGATATCATGGTTAATACTGTTAAAAGCTTTGCTCATGCGCTTTCAGGATGGAGTCAGTAGAATTAATAAGGGAAGTTTCCGATGAGTGCCACGCTTTGTTGCCGCTCTGATGCACGAGAGACGACGGTTTATGGTCAAGTAAGACGTTAGTTGATTAAGTGCTGCCCGCTCACATATTTTGGAAAGAACTGGTAATAGGGAAATAGGGAAATAGGTCTATTGTTATTAGGTTGCTCATGATCACCGGCGTTCACCGCCTTTGGGAATAGGAATCACTCAGTCAGCGATTTTCCAAGCACTTGGAAAAATATTGTTCATCAACGAATTGTTTATGATAGAAGTGATCCATGCATGGTGCAATGATGGGTGGACAATCCTTGATAACGCGGATTGGCGTTTTATCTATTCCCGGTGCTTTGTTATCTGGCATAGATCTCACAATATATTCCAATATTAGAGAGGATTCTACAGGCTCAAAAGCAAACTCTTCGGGACAACTGTTTGGGACAAACTGTGATGGAAGATAGCTGTTTTCTTTAGCAAGTGATTTGATTTCCGTAACTGTATTTGAACCAACTGATGTAAAAAATTCGTTAAAGTTATTTGCGTCAGATTTATCATCAGTGCTGAAGCATTTACTTCCACTGGATTTTTCCTGTTCGATATACGATCTCCGTGCTAAACGTGATACTCGCTTGACCTCTGGTTTATAATTCCTGTAAGCAGACCAGGCGGCAGGATCCCCAGACTTTCGAGTTAGTTTCTCCAGCGATCTCTAGTTTCCATTAGCACTCGAATCTCTTCTGTGACAAAGGGGTTTGGACGAACTCGTACTTTAACTTTTTGAATTGGAGCGTGTTGATCCAGAATATCATTAAATAGTGAGACGAAAGAATTCAAACTGTCATTGACACCTTCAAAACTGTTAATGACAGACCAGTTAAGGACCATTAGATGTGTCCTTACAAAAAGCATCTTTGTTTTAATTTCTGAAACTTCAGAGACATAAACAGGTTTCCAAAAATTTGCCTAGGTCAAGACTGTACAGGCTACATGCCCATCGATGAACAGTAGAATTACGCATATAAGCCGGAAAATGATGACCTAACATTAGATCTGCTTGTTCGTACCATTGGTTCGTACAAGAGTGGCACTCATCTTCGTGATGCGTGCACAGTACATGCATATAAAAGTATCAGTATACGTATTTTGTCATTACTAATACTGTGTGATCGTGTCGTTAGAAATACTGTACTCAAGTACTGTGACAGTGTGTGCATGTTTTAGCGTATTTATTTCCCTCGTTCCCATACACATTCCATTTAATACCTGATCAGGTCGGCAATCACATTGTTTGCAATGCAAACATATACATTCGTTAATTATGGTTTATACCTCAGAAATTACTAAATGAAAGTATTTAAGAAACTACGTGACTAGAAGTTTAGCGCTATTTTCTATTCTAGGTGAAACATTTTACAGTCAAGCTTTTCAAAAAGCTTTTTCATTATTAAAGACAAATTCAAGTTATGTAAATGATGATTTGAGAAAGAAAGTAATCCTGTTTTTGACGGATGGAAAACCAACTGATAAAATAAATATTACTCAAGTTCTTGAGTACGAAAAACGTTCTCTTAAATCAGCTACTTCAAAAGATGTTGTGATCTTCGCTTACGGAATCGGCTCACACGATTTTTCTCTATTACGAAAAATTGCAGAGGACACTAAAGCGGAGGGAACAGAGGTAAATAACAAGTGTATTCTCTGAAAATTTTATAAACTTTAACTATATATAAAGCACACCAACTAATTATTTCACTGCAGTTATTTTTCTTTAATCCACTTCTTGTTTCTATTGGTATTCAGATCGAGGTTGCACCAAAATAGATGAGGTGACTCACATTTTAACAACAAATTGTAACTAAAGCTTACTTTCATTAAATTTTTACTGACATAGTTTCGTTGAATATTCTGGAAGGTAAGACAAGCAGCTTCTTCCCCTCCCCTTCTGCCTTCGGTTCCTGAGCTCCTAGTTCTGCTAACAATACCCATCAGTACATATATACAATCTGTAGCTTCCCACATTTGCAGAAGGACAGCACATAGATGGAAAATCGGCTCATGAAATACGTTATATGCATAGTCGTGTTTAAATATTAATATTAGTAAGAGTAGCTAAATAATTCTTTGAGTGACTTTTCTTACTCGATCTCTTTTTAGGGTCGATTCACAGAAATCACATACAGCGACTTGGACCAACTTCGACTCGTATTTTCATCTTTTTATAATTTCTTTGCAAAGACAACCAAGTACTCCTCTCATCATATATCTGCTCCATATTTTGATGCTTCGGGTCTGGGTAGGAAATAGTTACTGTTTGCTTTTATTTATAGAATGGGCACTTTCTCAGCCTCGTACCCAGGCGCAAATAACGTACTAAAAAACAGCAACACTACAGTTTTTCTATATAGATCAGTGGCTGAGCGAGCGCGCGGGGGTGCTTGGGGAGGACTTGGGAAGCGAAGCAGCAGAATCCCGTCGTGTCCTGACCTAGCACCCCCGCTCTCTTAGCCACTGATCTATATAAAAACACTGTAGTGTTGCTATTTTTAGTACGTTATTTGCGCCTGGGTACGAGGCTGGCACTTTCTGGACTTGCTTGACTGCTCACAAAGCAATAGCTCCCATGAACTCAAGGCTGTCAATGTGATCCAATTCTACCTATCCTGGAATATTTGTCTCTTGTGCACTTAAATTAAGCAAGTTCGTAAAGTGTAGCGAATAGGGGTTGTAAAAAACTGAGCTGATATGGTGTTCTAAGGTATCCAATACGTATATCCAGAATCCAGATTATATAGGTAAAAGCTCATATATAGTTTTTATTCTCCATTTAGGAGAAATGGTGACATTATTTGTTCCCTGTTTCCATCAAGAGCAAGTTATCGGCGTTGCAGGCACAGACGTTGCATTCTCAGATCTCACGTTGGACGTATCTTTGTTCGGAGGAGAATATTCGTATGCATTTCTTATTGATAGGAAAACTGGCAACGTGATTATTCATCCATATATGCCAAGATTGCAAGATGAAGATGATGATCCTGTTATACTTCATATAACCGCTCTGGAACCAGAATCTGAGTTTAAAGATTTCATCTTGCAGTCAATGATGAGGTACTGTTGGTATGGAAAGCCCCCCCCCCCCCTCCCCTCCCCTCCAATGTTGGCCCTCGCAGCAAACTCTTTTTGCCCCTTCAGTAAAGGTCTCTTGTAGAATATAAGCAGAAGAGGGAAGACTGGCTCGGTCCTTAACCAGACCTTGTTTTTATACTGAAAGCTCAGCCTGTATAGGTTGAAAATATAAAGGTGTGTAAAAATACTGGAAGTCAGAGGATATCAGAGGATATCAGGCCCCGCAGGCTCAAAAGGTTGTAGACCCCAACAATCCCTGCCAGTTCGCACTTTTCCAATTCAACACGACTTAGCTGAACTGCAGAAGCGGGGAGAGTATCTATAAACATGCATTTTTTGGGTTTGCTTGGGAAATTGATTCACTAAAATAGTACAGTTCACTAAAGTAATACCAAGGAGTTATCAGCTCAGCGCAACACAACACGACACAACACAACACAACACAACACAACACAACACAACACAACACAACACAACACAACACAACACAACACAAAACTACTTCAAATAAAATGTCAGTTTTAGTCTGTCAACATTTACAGACCAACAAAACGTGAATATTAACAGGCTATGGCAATACGCCACTCTTCTCTGCAGAGGCTGCCTGAAAAGGGGGACTTATTAGAGAGACCACGTTACGCATTCTATAAGTGATTCTATATCTATTATTTCTAGCACTCAATACCCGTAAGGCCTTTTCGCATGGCGTTGCATGGAAAGGCTAATTACCTTTCCTTTTACTCAATCAAAGACGTACTGACGTTCATAAGCCGTTGTTGCTAGAAAATATTTGGCTTTTCTAATCAAAGTGTTTTTCCACAAAATAATTCTACATATTCACTTCAGTCTGTCACTAATTATTATATTCGCTGTAATACATAGGGGTGATGAAGGTAGCAGAAATTTAGTAAGCAAAAGATACTTAACAACTGGCAGCGGATCAAACTCTGGTGTAGAAGAACTAGAGGTCAACTCTACATATTACTGGAAACCAATACAAGACACAAGTTTATCTCTATGCATCGTTCTTGCTCAAAATGAAACTAAAAGTAGACTGGAAATTGTATCAGGTAAGAATTTGATTTATGTTCTGCATATATGTTCTCCATCAGGGCATTTTTCAAGAGTTTTTGCAGGGTCCGTTTATGCATAGACCATGCATTGAGTTTGCCTATAAAATAGCAAGGGTGTGCATGATCATGAGGGCATCTGTTATCCGCCCGGCCTCCAGATTCACAATTGTAGCTTCCCCATGCCTTTGATTTAAATGAACCAGACTGTGTACATGCATGTTCACGTTTTTGTTCATGGTTTTTCTATTTTGAAGCGAATTTCATTGTGAGTGGGGCTTTTTCGTACTTTGTGACTTGCCCAGGGGAAAAATTAATTCCACGTCACATTAATTCAACCTAAAAACTTCAAATATTATTGCACTCAAATTTTGATTCTTTGGTGACTTGATTCAGTTTCAAAACGCAAATCAACATTAAGTTTTTGGGTCCGTTTAACGGCCACAAAAAGTGCTGAAAATATCCCTGGTCCATATATTTGGTTTCTATTAATTTCTTTTAATTCATTTTCTTTTCTTCTTTCCATTATGTTGCCCTTTATTTCATTTCCTCTTTCACGTTTATATATTATTATTATTATTATTATTATTATTATTATTATTATTATTATTATTATTATTATTATAATGTACTGCGTTAGGAAAATGATGACTATTGCTATTAGAACTACATATTACATTTTTTGCTGCCGAAATAGGGAATGGGAAAATGCGGATTTACTAACAATTTGACTTATCTCATTGTATATATATATATTGCATGCACTTTGTTCTGTTATTTCAGTTTAGTATAATTGTGATTCAAATAGCCAACCGTAAGTTACCTTTATGAGAGAGATTTACGATTGTATATGTATGTAAAGAAAAACATTTAATAAAGTTTCCATTATTATTATTATTATTATTATTATTATTATTACAACGTTAATCGGAAAAAAGCCAAATATAAAGAACTAGTAAAACAACTAGACGAAAATTTTAACGAAGTAAACTTTATAAATCTTTCTATGAGCTCCCTAGGTATTTTTGCGCAAGAATGCTCTACATTCTTAGAAATATTAGGAAATGTTGGTCTGGACAAAAACTACCAAACGTACTGTGTTAGGAAAATGATGACTATTGCCATTCGAAGTACATACTATATTTTTTGCTGCCGAAATAAGGAATGGGAAAGTCCGGACTTGTTAACTATTTGAAATATCTGATTGTCTTGTATATTTATATATTTTCATGTATTCTGTCTTATCATTTTTATTAGTTCATATAGTTGTGATTCAAATAGCCAATTGTAAGTTACCTTAAATTAGTGAGATTTACAATTGTATATATAGTAAATAACAAAATTATTAAAGTTTCCACTATTATTATTATTATTATTATTATTGGTGGTGGTGGTGGTGGTGGTGGTGGTGGTGGTGGTGGTGGTGGTGGTGGTGGTGGTGGTGATGGATGGTGATGATGATGGTACCCACATCACCGAAGTGTTTTTCAGTGGGGTCCTGCAACTCTAGCTTACATTAATTCAATATTTAGCCATTCAACATTTACAGCAACACATATATACAATATAATTATTTAAGGGAATTAAATAATATGTTTATTAATATGTTTTCTTATAATATCTTATAATATGTTTTCTTATTAATGTTTTCTTGTTTTCTTCACTTAGTTTCCAATCCACATTCAATTTTTTACCATCTGGAAATTATTAACCTGAATGAAAGCAGTAAAACACAGAATGACGATATTACACAATGTTCCATTTATGGTTTACGTGGCATTAAAGGTAGTCGTGCATCCTGTCATACTTATTCCAGTGCACTTATGAATTCATATCTACGAGTTCAATGACTTGTCTGTTTTAATATAATACACTTGAATAAGCAAATTCCGCCTAGTGGAAAACGGCCTTAACTATTAACCTCAAAGATCTAAACACACGTTGTGAAGTGCAAAAGCAAATTCAAACGAACGAAAACGGACATCGTCATCCTCAGGCTAAAGCACCAAGTATATCAATTTTCTGTTGCATTCTCGCACAATGACAATAACATTTGATAGTTCCAACCCTACCTGTTTATGCTTGCTACGTGTCAGTAACCGTTTACTTTTGTTTTTACATAAAAAGGATTCATAATTGCGATTCATAATGTATGAATTCCCTTAATTTATACGTATACTCGGCAGGGCCGTAGCTAGACCAATAATTGGGGGGGGGGGGGGGGGG